TGACTAACGTTACTAAGCGTTCGCATTGAGAAAATACATTACATTTTGTGTTGGCAAAATATGCTACTTTTTCAATATATTTGAGAGATAGGAGATATTTGGAGACAATACTGAGATCACTGAGAGCCGAGACAAAGACGATACCAAGAGATTCGAGACTGTGACGAGACCAAGACCATAGAAAATTGGTCTCGAGACCGGACTTGAGCATTACAACACTAACACCATTGATGAGTTGCTGGAGCGCCGTGAGAACCCTTATCTGCCTCCGTTGTATCGCTCTCTGACATCATGGTGTTTCCTCAGATAAAATATCTCTGGAGGGACCCGCTTCTCAGTCTCCGGTTACTGTTGGGTATCTGATGTTAAAATATCCACAGTTCGTTGGATTTATAGAAACTTGATGTCTGTGTCTGGTCAATACACTTAAAATCTGCAGTTCTTGAGATGCCCAAGGCCTCACAACTCACAAGGGAACAAAAGGGAAGGCCAACAGGAAATGGGGCCTATTTATAGACCACACCTCTAACAATGCATTTTGGGTAGTGTAGTTTTTGCTTAAAGAATGTTTAATAGCTGGACTTCAGTTTCTTGTTTCATTGTAACCTGCCCACCTGTTGTTGAGTCTGGTAAGAGTGATCAGGTTTTATGTCTCTTGAATTCTTGCTAGTTTGCTTACAAGGGACCGTTCATCTCTGACTTGATTATAGGCAACACAGCTGATCTATTTTGCATAATTGAAATTTGGCATTTTTATTGATTCAGTATGACTACGATTTGATGCAGCAATGTGGTTGATGGATGATGTAACGGGAATGCCATGCAGTCCGAAGACATGATCTCTATGCCCAGGCTAGAGAAAGTCCGGCTAGGCTTCAGGAACAACTCCTATTGCCAGGCTGTCTCTGGGTGCTCTCTGGATAGATGTTCTGTACCTTACTAGCCCAGGAAGAAACACTTGTATGCATTTTTTCCAGTGAGCCTGCTTGGACACTTCCTGTGCAAGGCCAGGAAGGATGAGCAAGAAGTTCTCTTCGTTTTACTTTTTGGGCCAACAAAGTATGGTTCGCATAACTTTCCTGCTCGTGATAACTCAGGATCAGGGGATGACCTTCCAAGCTCTGATTCAGGAGAGGGCAGAACCAGCCAAGGGTTGTGCTGTCCTACTATAAGTCTTGGTTCCCTTTTAATCATCCACCTCGACGTATGTCGAGTGCTTAACTATGGGAACGATCCCTGGGTGTGGGTGATTAAACCAGTAATCAGCTGTATACATACCTCTCCTTCTGTCTTTTCCTTGTGAACTGAGTGTGTTCTAACTTTCGACACTACGCTGGGAAGATTAGAAGGTTGCGTACCACAGTCGATCATTCGACATAGGTCAAAATGAACGACTGAAAGGGAACTTGTTACTTTCATAACCCAGTACCTGAAGGCAGGAAGGGATGCATATGTTCACTTTTGATGTCTTCAGGTCAAGGGAACAGAGGATTCCACCAGGTAAGTGTAGGTTCGTTCCTCGGGAACCACAGTAAGAGTGTAGGCTACCACCTGAGCTAATACCCAGTGTATTAAGAGCTTCATTGGCCCGTTTTAATTGGTTGGAGAGGATTGGACATTATGACAATTGATCTCATTCAGTCATTCAATGTGTGTCTCCATTCCCTCCTTTAGGGTTCAGGTGTTACGAAAGTAACCTCGGACATTCTCAAACGCCTCCTGGAGAGATGCACAGATGCAGGTTCAGCTGATTTACCACTCAGTAAGTTTATTAACTAGAGCAGATAATTATTTCAAGTTCATTTGATCTTCCTGTACTTTCATGTATTGTTCATTTTAAAGAACGGTTGATATCAAAACCGGTAGTTGCTGCTCCTTAAACACATTTGACTGGAACTGGCACTGGCATCAAATTATGGATCTGAGAATGAAGAAAAGCACCTCCTTAACATTAAACTTTTTTTTAAGTGAAATTGAACATTTTTTGTAGGCACACCAGATAATATCACAGTTTTTGTAAAACACAGAACTAACATTTTTATTTGATTTATTGACCAAAATGTATTAAATGTTTTCACTCATTAATTCCTTGTCCTTCCTGCTTATTCCCTTTTGCGGTTACAGGGATCTCTTGCTGAAAGCCTGAAAGCCACTCTCCAGCCCCCAATAAAATCTTGAGAACAATTTGTTCTCTCTATTTTGAGGAACATGTAGTGTTTTATGTGCACAAACAACCACAAACTGAACAGATTTGATCCTGTAGTGATACTAACAGCTCTCAAACACACAGACCTGGCATGTGTAGCATACGGCAATGGCAGTCTCTCTGCACCTGAGAGCTCTCGCAGTGCAGTCTGCAGGCACTGATGCTGTATGAGTCAAATCCTGGAATCATAGGCTCCACAGAAGACCGACAGTTGCCCCATGGTTGTGGTAAGTATGTCAGCTACAAAAACAGAGAGATATCCTTTTAAGCCCACGGAATAAACCAGCTGGAAAAACCCAGCTCAAATCTCTACAGAAATCACAGAGATGTGTTTTTCTTAATTTAATGTTACCTTTAATGTATAGGTCCTTCTCAAAAAATTAGCATATTGTGATAAAGTTCATTATGTTCTGTAATGTGCTGATAAACATTCGACTTTCATATATTTCAGAGTCATTTAGATACAACTGTAGTAGTTCAAGCCTTTTATTGTTTTAATATTGATGCTTTTGGCATACAGCTCATGAAAACCCAAAAATCTCCAAAAATTTGCATATTTCATCCGACCAATAAAAGAAGTGTTTTAATACAAAAAAGCCAACCTTCAAATAATTCTGTTCAGTTATGCACTCAATACTTGGTCAGGAATCCTTTTGCAGAAAAGACCACTTCACTACGGCGTGGCATGGAGGTAATCAGCCTGTAGGACTGCTGAGATGTTATGGAGGCCCAGGATGCTTCAATAGTCTTTTGTCTCTCAATGTTCTCTTCATAATATCCCACAGATTCTCTATGGGGTTCAGGTCAGGAGAGTTGAGCACCAGTATTACCATGGTCAGTAAACCATTTACCAGTGGTTTTGGCACTGTGAGGAGGTGCCAGGTCATGCTGAAAAATGAAATCTTCATCTCCATAAAGCTTTTCAGCAGATGGAAGTAGGTTGTGCTCCAAAATCTCCTGATAGCTAGCTGCATTGGCCCCGCCCTTGATAAAACACAGTGGACCAACACCTGCAGCTGACATGGCACCCCAGACCATCACTGACTGTGGATACTTGACACTGGGCTTCAGGCATTTTGGCATTTCCCTCTCCCCAGTTTTCCTCCAGACTCTGGCATCTTGATTTCCTAATGACATGCAAAATTTGAGCAACAGTCCAGTGCTGCTTCTTTGTAGCCCCTGTCAGGTGCTTCTGCCGCTGTTTCTGATTCAAAAGTGGCTTGGCCTGGGCAATGCGGCACCTGTAGCTCATTTCCTCCACACACCTGTACACCGGTGGCTCTCTCTGGATGTTGCTACTCTAGACTCATCCATTGCTTCCGCAGTTCCCCCAATGTCTGGAATCGGTCCTTCACCACAATCTTCCTCAGGGTCCGGTCACCTCTTCTCATTCTGCAGAGTTTTCTGCCACACTTTTCCTTCCCACAGACTTTCTACTGAGGCGCCTTGATACAGCACTCTGGGAACAGCCGATTCGTTCAGAAATTTCTTTCTGTGTCTTACCCTCCTGCTTGATGGTGTCAGTGATGGTCTTCTGGACAGCAGTCTTACCCATGATTGTGTTTTTGAGTAATGAACCAGGCTGGGAGTTTTTAAAAGCCTCAGGAGTCGTTTGCAGGTGTTTAGAGTTAATTAGTTGATTCAGATGATTAGGTTAATAGAGAACCTTTTCATGATATGCTAATTTTTTTAGATGTATGGAGGGTTTTCATGAGCTGTATGCCAAAATCATCAATAATAAAACAATAAAAGGCTTGAACTACTTCAGTTGTGTGTAAATTAATCTGAAATGTACAAAAGTCTAATGTTTATCACTACATTACAGAAAATAATGAACTTTATCACAATATGCTAATTTTTTGTGAATGACCTGTATATATATATATTATAAGTACATGTTAGCACTATAGTATTCAATAGCATAGTTTTTGAACTATTTACTGGTGCAACTGGCCACTCCAGTAGTCCCACCTTAGCAACTTACCTGGGATCGGTGTTCTCCATTATAAAACAGGTATTTAGGTGCTTTAGGTGCTAACCTAAAGTGAATCAGTGTCTGAAGTTATTGTGCCTCCTTCTACAAACTTTATCATAGAGCCGGAGCATCTTACTAACTGCTAAAGCAATTAAGCCACAATTAACTAATGGAGCTTAAAATAACTTAAATTTAAGCTTTAACTTACAGTTAGTTTTAATATAACCTAACTTACTGTACTTTTGAAATTTACTGAGAGCTTTTGTTTTCTTTTGACCTAAAATGACTACATGAATACAGTATCTGTTGAAATATTAGGTGCATCCGGCTAATAATCTGTTTGCATTAACATTTAATTAAAATAAAAAACAAAAAAACATTCTGAAACATCTGCCAGTCATAGATTTTGGTGAATAATAACAACTTGTTCATCTTAATCTAGGTGAGAACATGCTTCTGACATCTTTTTTTCAGTAGCATTGTGAACCTGAGGTGCATTTGTTCTTCTGTTAGAGGCTGCATAGGGGTTGGTGGGCAGGTCTAGACTACATAGAAATTATTTTGGTAAATTTGTATTTTGAATTTGGCTGTGTTTAAATTATATATTCAGTTTTAGGTGCCAAGTCAACTTTGTGCTATATATTTATATGTACAGTGGTATGTACCGTACTCCCCCGAGATATGAATGCTTCAAGTTACAAATGTTTGTGATATGAAAGGTCAACTATATATTACATATACATTATACATTTGCATTTGCCAGACGCTTTTATCCAAAGAGACTTACATTTGAATGAACATATTTTTTCTGTCAGTTCTTGCTTTCCCTGGGATTTGAACCCACAACCTTGGCGTTTTTAGCGCAACGCTCTACCAACTGAGCCACAGGAAAGCCTTCTTACCTGCTTATTCCCTTTCAAGGTCACAGTGGTCTCGTGGGAAATTTTTTGCTCGAGATGCGAAAAAAATAGAGATTCGAAGAAACACCAACAGTGCTTCTCTATTATCCGCTTATGAAGTCTGATGTCATGCGCTTCTGGGTCCTGGCTCTCCATTCTCCCATTGCAGACAGTGCTAAAAGAGGCTGATATGCTTTAAAACACTTTAAATCTGTTTTAAATCGAGCAAAACATTATGTTTAAATTACCAATGTACTAAAACAAATGTTAGAGTCAAGGTGTTGTAAAAGAAATTACAAGCTCTCGGTACTGTTTACACTTGTGCTTGAAACCGTGTTTGTGTCAGTAATTCGTGAAATATCTTGAGAAAGTTAACTTTCATACGTAGTGCCGTAATGTTTTCTGCATCCGTTCCACCTCCTCCTCCTTCACATTTGTGTACGTATTACGTATTTTGCTTGTGTTTTATTATCATTTATTACATTAACAATGTGTAAATTAAAGGATTGAAGAAATGCTACTTGATTTTTCTCTAGTTTTCTATTTTTTATCTACTTATTCTGTTGTTTCTGAGAGCCGTTGCAAGGATTAGGCGTTTTACATGTAAAACCTGCTTCGAGATACGAACGTGACCCTGGAACAGATTAATTTCGTATCTTGGTGTAACACTGTATATGTTATATATTTCACCTTTTATGGACCTTTAAGAGTTTGAGAAATTGATTCATTCATTCAATCATCTTCTTACCCGCTTATTCCCTTATTTGTTATTATGTAGCATTTCTAGCATCAGTCATTGAATGTTTAAGTGATCAGTGGTGAAGGTCCAACAATGTAATCAATGTATCACCTTTGTTTTGGAAATGTGATCTCTAGTGACAAAATTGTAAAACTCACCCTTTGTTCCTGACATGAGACGAAGGTCTGGAATCCTGGTGAGACCCCGAATCCCAGCTGGTGGATGTATGGGGGCTCATTCTGGCTGTGGATCTGTACACGAATCCCTGCCTCCAATGTTGTCTCATCTGAAGAGCAACATATTAGACATGTTGAATATGATGATAAAGAACAAACATTTTATTGCTGTAATGCTTTTTGGTTAAAAATGTAATTGGAGACAAAGTAAATATTTTAGAAAAACATGTAAAACATTTTCAGGAGGCTTATTAAAAAAAAAATAACATGAGACTCTTTTGATCCCTGTGGCTATGGAGTATCCTCCGAAGGCTGCATAAACCCTTGGTAAATGGGATGGTCTAGCTAGCCAGGGGGTCGGCAACCCGCGGCTCTTTAGCACTGCCTAGTGGCTCCTTGTAGCTTTTTCAAAATTTGTTTGAAAATGAAAAAGATGGGTGAGGGAAATACATTTTTTATTTTAATATAGTTTCTTTAGGAGGACACACGACACAAACATTCTTAACGTTTTCTGTAAAAATGTGTAGAATAAATATTACATTTCAACATTTCTGTCAACGAAGATTTGCGCCATAGCCTGCGACACACGTTTCTATCAGCAGAACGGGATGCCAGGCAGATGACAAAACAAAAAGGTATACACTTTACCTTTTCAAAAGGCTGCTGTTTTATTTTTATTAAATGCAGGATGCGTTTTATTGCACTCTGTTTGCTGCCCCGATGAGGGGCACGTTTTGCATGTTCCATCCTGTTGTTTTTTCAAATCCTCAAAAAAAAAAAAAAAAATGACAACATAAATCAGATGTCTTTATTGCGTTTCTTTAATTTCATCAAAGCAATGAAACATGATTCATCAATATTGCAATGAAGATAAACTTGAGGCGGCATCGTACAACAGAGTAGTTCTCTACTGCACATGTGTCAAACTCAAGGCCCGCGGGCCTGATGTGTCCCGCAATGTAATCTAATGTGGCCCGCGAGAGCTTAAAAGTTTTGAGTATCTAAAAAAAACAAAACAAAAAAAAACATTTCCCACAATGTCTATGGTAGCCGCAACAGTGTTTCCGCATCCATACTCACGAGGGAAACAGCAAAGCTGCCAACTCTTACACATTGAACGTAAGATTCACGCATTTGAGTGATCTCTCACGCCACACCTCAGATTTCTCACCTAAAATAAATTTCAAGATGTGAAAAGGGCGCAGCTAATAGTTTATCTGTGATCTGTTTCTGGAGCCTGATAAATAAAAGATGATCGATATGCATCGTCTTCAGTTTGTGAGGTTTGTTTTTCTCGCTAAACAAATGACAAAAATGCTTATTTTTCTTTATTCACTTGGGCAGTTCGATCCTTTATTAATGGCGTTATGTGGGTTTTCATAAGCTGACAAAAATCAAAAGGATTTATATTAGAACATTAAGGAGTAGTTACATTTATTTTACATTCAATTACATTGTTTTACATTTATAAGTTACATCTGGCCCTTTGAGGACAGCCATTATGCTAATGTGGCCCTCAGTGAAAAATTAGTTTGACACCCCTGATCTATAGTATGCACTGCAGGGAAAATAAACATTTAATCATGAAGGCTCATTACAAAGTATTTGTAGCCAACTTAGTCATTTTGATAGTAGGCTAATGTAGATACATACAGCATGTGTTGCCTTCATTATAAGGCTTCTATAAGGCTTTTAATTTTTTGCTGCTCCAGACATATTTGCTTTTTGTTTTTTTGGACCAATTGGCTCTTTCAACATTTTGGGTTGCTGACCCCTGAGCTAGCCTCTTCTTCTTCTGTTGTTTTTTGGCAGTTTGCTTATGGTGCATTAGCGCCACCAGCTGGTTCAGTAGTTTGGATACCGAAATGAATGAATGAAATGTTCTTGTATTATTAATATTTTTCTTTAAATGATTATTTTATATTTATGTTTTGTGAATAATAATTTTTTGAGATCACTGTAAGTTCTTTCATTGCTTAATTTATTTTCTAGTGTTTTAGGATTTATTTTTTAATTGTTATATTTCTTTAGTTCTTTTTGTCTTTGTTATTTTGAATTCATTGTATTAAAACATGCTCTGTATTTTCTTTTTGGTCGCATTGGTCACATTTTCCTGTTGTGTGTAATTTAAACCAGTATGACGGTCTAGCTTCATTCAGTTTTCATTAGATTCCTTAACTCCTTCGTCTCCTTCTTAAAACATAATGGCATCTACCAATACTTTGTTAACATTTAGTTGGCTGCGTGTGGTAATATTTACAATGAATGTTTAAAATAAAAATATGTTTTACAATTCGCCTATCACTACCACTATTTAAAGCTTGAATATGCCGTCCTTTATTTAAAAAAAAAAACTTTTTACTTACATATAAATACAAATTCAAGTGTGTTTTGTGTTGATTCTAATGAAAAAAAAGCAAAGCATTTTGGGATAATCTGGGGCCACTAAGGAAGGTCGCAATGCATCCTCGGAATTCAGGGGAAAGTAGGACGCATTTTAAGGACCCTTTGAGTTTTGCCGAAATTAGATAGCCTTGGCGCACCATTGTGACATAAGTGACCTTAAAATGCCACTTGAGTGGGACTGTGTCCGGTAGCTCAAAAGCAGAAGCTTCTGGATTCCACTCCAGACAGAAAGTTCAGTTGGGAGGTTCAATGACTAAATATGATACACTCAATGACTAGATATGATATATCTTGTCTTTGGCCTTCCTCTTGACCTCTTGCCTGGCATCTCCATCTCCAACATCCTTCTACCAATATAACCACTATCCCTCCTCTGTCCAAACCATTTCATAAACACATGTCCAAACCATCTCATGAGCACTGTAAATATTTCTGGAGAAACCATGCCTCCAGAAATGTTTACAGTGTACCTTTAATGTTAAATGGTTAAAAAAATGGTTTCAGAAAAGAAAATAATAATAATGGTCACTCACTGGTTTCTCTCCAGATTGGCAGATATTCATCCTGTTCAATGTCCAACATCAGCTCCAGGCCATTCCCTGTTCCACCCTGCCTCACACGTTTTGGCGAGGTTTGGTTCCCATTGAATGTGTAGCATCTCCCATACCGTGTGTAAACCTGTCACGCACAAACACAAGCATAGTTCAGATGAGTAAGTGCACTCCTGAAGCACCTTAATGACCAGCCTCACATCAGAATTTTTTCCTAAATACACACCAAACATACATCAGGATTGTGAAATCTGCTTTTTAATAGTTAAAATCTCATAAATGTTGTATTATTTAAAAATAGCATCTTATTCTGCTGTCATTTTGTTTCATTTTATGTTGTGTCACATAGTGGGGATAGCTGCTCCATTTTTTGTACCTTGTCCAAGAAGTTGACATATTACTCTGACCCCGTTTGATCTTCACTGGCTTCTTGTGAAATTCCAGATCCAGTAGAAAATATTATTAGTGCCTGCCTCGTAGTTTGAGCATAAGGTGAGGTGTACGAATGTACACAGCAAGCTGTATGAATGCAATGATATCTGTGTTATAACCACTAAGTGAGGAGTGAACCCTGGACGGATTTATCTGGGATTTAAGGTAGGATTGGCTTAAAAACTGGTGAGTTTAATGGTTCTACTGGAAACAATGGTGGTATGCCCAAATTAGTTTACAGTGTACCTTTAATGTTAACAAGGTTAAAAATGGTTTAAGAAAAAAAAAGGTCACTCACTGGTTTCTCTCCAGATTGGCAGATATTCATCGTGTTCAATGTCCAGCTGTGCCACTCTGCCTCACACGTGATAATTATATTGTTTTGTATGTGCCTATGGTTTTAATGTCGAGTGCTACAATGGTTTGCTGTTATATAAATAAAAAAATTAATTTAATTGTTTATATATTTCCACCTGATTGATGGAGTGGTGATAGATGTCGACCCATAGCTACAAAATCCTTATTACGTTGACAAAACTACAGGCACTCCATCTATAGTTACGTAAAACTTTCCACAGGTATTTCACAAAGAATTTCATGGCCATTTTGTACGAGTATGTACAATATGTAACTGATTGTGGAACACAACATGTATTCTTTTTTGATACAAACTAGAACAAGTTATTGAGAG